CCGGAGGAGTTGGGTGTGCGGAGGATGGTTTTAAGCGGACGCGGGCACGCCCTCCAGTGGCGGCGCGGGGGGTTGCAGCCACGGCCGCTCCTCCCAAACCTCCCTCCCCGAAGTTCCGGGTTTGAGGGCGCACCCAGCCGTCTCACGGTGTAGGCGGGCGCCACCCCGTCTGAGTGTCGCCAGGATGCTGAGCAGGTCTCAGCAGCTTCGGGGAAGGAAGGCCTGGCCACCTACTTCCAGAGCTCAGCTGGCCACAATGTCAGTGAGGGTCGCCAGCGACGCCGAGTTCTCCGCGGAGAAACGGAGCCCGGCGTGAGCTGCCGCGCGGCCCAAAGAACCAAGTAAAATGAAGTGCTTAGAACAGAGACAAGGCAGGCGGTCTGCGGACCCGTGCCGCACGGCCACCCGAGCGCCCAGCCAGCCGGGCCCGTGGGAGCCGGCCGTTCTCATGTCTCGGTTCCGTGTGCCGATTGTCCAGGTGAAATGTGTCCAAGATGCAATTCGGGCCAAGAAGAAAACCTTCAGTTTCCTTGGGGAGAGGATCAGCCTCATTCCCACTGTGGGCATCTTCATCACCATGAACCCCGGCTACGCCGGGCGCACGGAGCTGCCCGAGAACCTGAAGGCCTTGTTCAGGTGGGTGGCCCGGGGTCCCAGACCCCACGGGGAAGCGCGCAGGACGCCACGCAGGGAGAGGCCCGGCAGAGGGGAGAGGTCGCCCAGGAAAGGCTGGGGGGGGTGAGGAGCAGGCGGGCTCCCCTGAGACCCAGAGCCCGGGGTCCCTGCCCTCTGTCCCACGGGAGCCGGGTGTTGGGGAGATGATTGTCATGGAGGAGCAGAGGTAAAGAGAAGGACCTGGGGACATAGCGAGTGGGGGGCACGGACAGTGGGGACGAGTGGAGTGGAGGGGGGAGAGGAAGAAGTGGGGGGCAGCTCGTGAAGTGGGAGGGGTCTGGGGAAAGGACCCTGTAGAGGAGGGAGTGGGGGCTGGGGACATGGAGAGAGGGGAGGGGTAGACATGGGCTCAGCCCCTATGCAGGGTGGTGGAGGGACAGGTGGGGGAGTGGGGATGGGGGACCCCCGAGGGTGAGGAGGCGCCCCTCACTGCCAGGACCGGTTTCCCTCAGGCCCTGCGCCATGGTGGTGCCCGACTTTGAGCTCATCTGTGAGATCATGCTGGTGGCTGAGGGCTTTCTGGAAGCCCGCCTGCTGGCCCGCAAGTTCATCACCCTCTACACTCTGTGCAAAGAGCTGCTCTCGAAGCAGGTGTGTGGTCACGGGCCGACCCCACAGAGCTAGGGGCCACCGCACACGTGGCCACAGCTGTTTCCCAGACCCACCTGGTGATGGTTCCTAGCATCACTCAGGGAGGACCTGTCAGCTTGACTCATAGGTCAGGCTCTGCCAGAGACTCCTCCCGGACCACCCACCCCTCCTCCAGGCTTGGTGTCCTTGGCCCCAGGCCCCACACTCCTACCTGGGCCCAGCCCAACCCTCGCGGGAAAGCCCTCTGGAGACAAGTCGGGTGAGACATGGGTGTCAGTCGAAGGCCCGCTGGCATCGTGCCATCTATCCGTCTCCACTGCGTGCAGGACCACTATGACTGGGGTCTTCGGGCCATCAAGTCGGTGCTGGTGGTGGCTGGGTCTCTGAAGAGGGGGGACCCCAGCCGGGCTGAGGACCAGGTGCTGATGCGGGCTCTGCGGGACTTCAACACCCCCAAGATCGTGACGGACGACCTGCCCGTGTTCATGGGGCTCATTGGGGACCTCTTCCCCGCCCTGGACGTCCCTCGGAAACGTGACCTGAACTTTGAAAAGGTAGGCATCCCAGAAGTCCCACAGGACCTCCATACCTCGTGTGCTGGGTGGGTGCCTGCAGCCTGGCTGGCAGATGCAATGTCAGGCTGCCCCAGCCCTGGCCACTGTACTGTCACCAGTGGGGGTCACAGAGGAACCAGGGTGGGGGCGGCCGAGGACAAACCTTCCCCAGCACTGAGGCCTCGGTGGGGCTGGAGGTACGCACTCGCGGCGGAACTCGTGACTGTCCAGCTTGGGTCACTCCCTGGGCATAGGCTGGTCACCTGGGCATTGGAAGCGGGCACCGGGCTCTCGCTCTGGCTGGCCCCGGGCTGCGGCCCCGGGGGCTCGGCGTTAACTGGCCCCCTGTGCCCCCAGATCATCAAGCAGAGCATCCTGGAGCTCAGGCTGCAGGCGGAGGACAGCTTCGTTCTGAAGGTGGTGCAGCTGGAGGAGCTGCTGCAAGTGCGCCACTCGGTGTTCGTCATCGGAAACGCAGGCAGCGGCAAGTCCCAGGTGCGAGGGCCGGGACAGACGCGCAGAGACCCAGTCCTCCACTCCCCCACCCGGGGACCCGACCCAGGGCACCGCCCTGCAGTGTCTCCCGGGCTGGGAGGAAGCTGCGGGTCCAAGCACAGCCGGGCCCCACAGGGTTCCCAGCGGCTGAATTTCAGGAAATGGAGTGCCAGGCCCTTCTCCCAAGGCCCGTCTGGGCAGACCCAAACCTCCAGCCTTTGGGATGGTGGCCAAGCGTGCTGACTGTGCCACCAGCAGAAGCGAGCAGTTAGCAGCACGTTTGTCGCCGCCAGGGCCGCTCCCCGTCCATCACTGGGGGTGCGACTCCTCTATCCACCCGCGCACGGGGCCAGAGAGCACTGCTTGTGCTCAGGAGTGGCCATGCCCACCTCCACACGCCCTCCACGTGCTCGTGACAGCTGGGCTCGCTCACACACACTCGTACGTGCAGGCACCCTCACGCACTGGTCCCCCCAGGTGACCCCATCGCCCTGCCCCTCGCCCCACGGGCCGTGTCCCTCACAGATGTCCTCCTGCCTCTGCAGGTCCTCAGGTCCCTCAACAAGACCTACCAGAACCTGAAGAGGAAGCCGGTGGCTGTGGACCTGGACCCCAAGGCTGTCACCTGCGACGAGCTCTTTGGTGTCATCAACCCGGCGACCCGGGAGTGGAAAGATGGTAACAGGGCTGTGTGTGGCCACCTGGGAGCGCATGGTGTCCCCAGGCGGCAGGGACACACGCCACATGCCATGCAGTACTCGGCTCACTGACCACGCACGGCAACTTCACCCTGTGTGGCTGGGTCCCCAAGATGACTGGGAGGGGCACTGAGTGCAGGGGTGGTGGTGGCACCCCATGGGAGCGCTGACCGTGGGCCGTGTCAACACAGCTCAAAGGGGACTAGCTGCCTGAGGCAAGGGGAGGCTGGAGGAGCCACGGGCACTCGGTGCACAGAGTGGGAACCGGGTGGGAGCAGGCCCACAGCTGGGAGGGGTGCAGGGTTGAGGCTGGAGTGCATGTGGGGCCTGGGGGGCCTCACCCTGAGGACATGGACTTCAGTCCATGGTTGGTGGGTGCTGGGCCAGCCTGCATCAAGAAAGTGGCCTGGTCTGGTTCACACTTCATGAAAACACCCAGGGGACTTTGAGAAGGGGCTGGAGTAAGGAGAGGGGAGAGGCCGGGGGCCAGCAGGTGCCCAGGGCATAGTCCAGGGGGTGATTGGACTGGGTGGCCCCCACAACCTGGAGGGGGAGGGGGTCACTGAAGAGACACTGGGGAAGGGTCTTGGCCAAGCATGGGCAGGAGTCATTTTGACAGCGGACCTGCTGCCCCTCTTAGGCCAGAAGCCCCCGGGAGGGCTCTGTTCTGGGCTGCCTCCCACAACCTGCCCTGGCCCCCACCTGAGGTGGCCCCCATCCCTCCACCCACTCCCCAGCTTCTTTTTTTTTTTCCTCTCTGCTTTTACCGTCCCTCACGTCACACAGGCTACCGGGGAACCTTGTTATCCCTGGGTTCCGCATTTGTGGGTTCGTCTGCTCGTCATATGTATTTGCTCCCCCAAATCCATACTCATTACAATCGTTTGTGGAGACACAGGACAGCGAGGACATCAAGTCACCTGCCACCATGTCCCCACTCTGCCCTCGCGTCTCAGCTCTGCACTGCAAATGCGTGTCCTTTGTGCATGTGTTGAAGGACCATGCTGTTTGTGTTTTGTGCTCCTTGTTAGTGACTGCAGTTTGAAATGCCCCCCCCCAGGGCAGTGCTGAAGTGCTACCCAGTGTCCCCAAGCACAGGAACTCTGAGATGTCCCCAAGCACAGGAACTCTGAGATGTCCCCAAGCACAGGAACTCTGAGATGTCCCCAAGCACAGGAACTCTGAGTGTGTCTCATGGGGAAAGCCCGTGTGTTAGATCAGCTTCATGCAGGCGTGAGTTACAGGGCTGCTGGCTAAGAGTTCAAGTGGGCCCTGACAATGAGTAAGAGTGACCGCCCTTGGCACCCACTGGGAGCGCCCTTCAGTGCAGGTGGCCATGTGACTACCCCCACCTCCTGCAGGCCTCTTCTCCACCATCATGCGGGACCTGGCCAACATCACACATGAAGGCCCCAAATGGATCATCCTGGATGGGGACATAGACCCCATGTGGATCGAGTCTCTCAACACCGTCATGGACGACAACAAGGTGAGCCCTCCAGGGGTGGCGGGGTGGCTCGTGGTGTTCCCCCAGTTCCGAGAGTCTGTGTAGGCCACCTTCTCAGCTGAAAAGCCACGGGCTCTGTCCCCTCCTAGGTGCTCACCCTGGCCAGCAACGAGCGGATCCCCCTGAACCGGACCATGAGGTTGGTGTTTGAGATCAGCCACCTGCGGACTGCCACCCCGGCCACCGTCTCCAGAGCCGGGATCCTCTACATTAACCCCGCCGATCTGGGCTGGAACCCGTGAGTTGGGCTTCTGTTCTGCTGTTCCCAAGTACCAGACGGAGCAGTCCCTTAGCCCTAAGGAGCTCTGGTGGCACAGTGGGTGAGGCATTTGGCTGCTGACCAGAAGTTGGGCAGTTCAAACCCAGCAGCTGCTCCACAGGGGGAAGATGGGGCAGTGTACTTCCACGGAGATCTATAGCCTTGGAGACCCAATGGGGGTTGCTCTGAGTTGGAATGACTTGAGGGCAGTGGGTCAGGTCTGGTTTTATTTAGCGCCACAGTGACCAGGCCGCCTTCCATGAGCGCCTCCCTCCCTGCCTTTCCTTCCCTTTCCTTCTCGCCCCTCCTTCCTCTCCCCGTGTGGGGACAGGGACGGCTCTCAGCCACCCTACACTGACCGTACCCCCTGGCCAGCAGTTCCAGGGCTTGCTGCCCCAGCATCCAAATCAGACCCCGTAAGGGCCATGGCTCACCCGGCTGGGGACAGGGGCCTCGTTTGGACCAGCCGCCACCCAGGGAGGTGGCCTGAGCCACAGCCCGCTGGGCAGGAGGGTGGGGCGGTGAGAAGCATGTGGAAAGGGTCGGGAGCAGGCAGACCCAGCCAGGCGTCCACCCACCGCCACCTGGCATCCCCTCTTTCCAGTGTGGTGAGCAGCTGGATTGAGCGGCGCAAGGTGCAGTCGGAGAAGGCCAACTTGATGATTCTGTTTGACAAGTACCTGCCCACCTGCCTGGACAAGCTGCGGGTGGGCTTCAAGAAGATCACGCCGGTGCCCGAGATCACAGTGGTCCAGATGACCCTGTACCTGCTGGAGTGCCTGCTCACCGAGAAGAACGCACCGCCCGACTCCCCGAAGGACCTCTACGAGCTGTACTTCGTCTTCGCCTGCTTCTGGTCCTTCGGTGGCGCCATGTTCCAGGACCAGGTGGCAGCCGGGCGCGGGCCGCGGGGACAGCCAGGCGCCCCGCCCGCACTCCGCGCCAGCGAGCCCTGTCTTCTACCTGCACAGCTCGTGGATCACCGCGTCGAGTTCAGCAAATGGTGGGTCAACGAATTCAAAACCATCAAGTTCCCCTCGCAGGGCACCATCTTTGACTACTACATCGACCCCGACACCAAGAAGTTCCTACCGTGGACGGACAAGGTGCCCTCCTTCGAGCTGGACCCGGACGTCCCTCTGCAGGTAACTTGTCAGGTGGTGACGGTCTCCGCCGACGTGGAGGCAGGACCCCGCACACTCAGTTGGGAGGTTCAGGTGGTAACAGGTGTCAGCACCCAGGTCCTGTAGACTGAAAATGGGATTACAGACTGTGTCTGAGAGCCACACCCTCCCCCAGGCCTCCCTGGTCCACACCACGGAGACCATCCGTATCCGGTTCTTCATGGACCTGCTCATGGAGAAGTCGTGGCCCGTGATGCTGGTGGGCAACGCAGGCACCGGCAAGTCGGTGCTGATGGGGGACAAGCTGGAAAGCCTGAGCACGGACGACTACACGGTGCAGGCTGTGCCCTTCAACTTCTACACCACCTCGGCCATGCTGCAGGGTGAGGCTGGGGCCAGGGACGGGGG